ACTGAGTGACTGACGGACTGACTGGCTGTATGACTGACGATTGCATAACTGTCCGACTCACCGACTGGCTGAGTGATAACTATTCAATTCAATGAATTACCCACTGACCAAATGCTGTCTGACTGAGTGACTGACGGACTGACTGGCTGTATGACTCACGATTGCATAACTGTCCGACTCACCGGCTGGCTGAATGATGGCTGCACAATTGATTAAATTACTCACTGCCGACAACTGTTGCCTAACTGTATGAGAATATGACTGACCGGCTGCTTTGCATTTTTCGTTCGAACACAATAGTTACCGTAACTTGTGGCATGTGAAGCTTTGTTATGATTTGTTTCATAACCTCAATAGGACACGGAGAACCGCCCATAATACCTAAATGTAAAAAATCCAAGCTATAAAATCAAATACGGACAAAATAAAGTGCATAAGATTACAGATTAACGATTAAGACATGATGTACCAACGAGCGCTATTCCAACCGGGATGCCATCCATGCGCGGGTAAATCTCTGAACAATTAACAATTATTCCACGAGCGCGTTGGAATAATTGTTTTATTTAATAAAACGCCCCCAAGATATTAGACAAATCTTCCTGACTTTATTCTGTTGGAAGAAACCGGATGTTACAATGTACGGATGTTAGATTATGGTATACAATGAATATATGAAGTTCATATATTTTATGGTATATTGGCTCATATACCATGATGGCTAAGCCAATAAAAAGTGTTGAATTGCATTATCCAATGATCCAGTTTTAAATAATGCCTGTTATTGCACTTTTCAAATGAACGTCAAACCAAAACCAAAGTAATTTGGTTGTACATGTATCAACTACGTTGATAATGTAAATTGGCCTCCTTTATCCAAAACCAATCGGTCTCCTTCAATTAAAACCAAAGTAATTACACTGGCCAATCAGAAGAAAGGAGAGTGCCTTAAAGAACCAGTTAGAACTCAAATAAGAAGAAAGAAAACTTCCCAAAGGGCGGGAAAACGCTGGCGACCGAGTTGCGATTCGTTTTAGTTTTGAATCTGATTGGTTGAAAAAGTGGCGCGAGTTTTCTGAACCAATCACACAACAAAATAAAGCAAAACCAAAGCAATCTTGGATTACGTTTTGATAAAATACCAAAGCGTAACTTTTGTCGTTGAATTCATAAATTACAAGCAGTCACGGTACAACAGCTTCTAATTACAAGTATCACCATTTCCTTACCTGTGCGAAGACTGCTAACATCAAACTTTTCTAACGCGGGGTGATTCAAGACATCGATAAACATCGTAGGCGTACCGTAAAGAGAATTACACCTGTAAAAAAAATCCCAAGAAACCACATATTTTCGATACGTTTAACCCGAAGGCTACCGGTAAGCGGTTAAAACAGTAGACTTCAGGTAGAGATGTTCGATCTTTGGCCAGGTCGTTGAGTTTTATTTTTCAACTCCACCCAGGGGTACTGATGGGTATCGGCGAACTGCGAGAGAAACCTGATTGTTGGTAGAGCATAGAAGCACGTTAATATAAAAGTAGTGAACAAACTAGTTTCCCTTCCCCCCCCTTCCCCACCAAAAAAAAATAATCGGTTTCACAAATCACTGCATGTAGTGATTCTGATACAGAACTTACTTTTCCTGTTGAATGGCTGTCAGAACGGCACCAGGGTTAAACCCTCGAGATGGATAAACTGCGGTGGTTCCGTAAGTAGCATTCATTAAACTGAAAATTAATGTTGGAAGAGTAATCTATGGTTGCATCGTTTTTGCTTCACCTTGTTGTGTGATTGGTCCAGAAACCTTGCGCCAATCTCAACCAATCACAGGCAAAAACTAAAACGAATCACGACTAGGTCACTCGCGTTTTTCCCCGCGATTTTTTTTGCTTCTTTTTACTTCGAGTTCTCATTGGCTTATAAAGGTTTCTTTCCTCTCTTCCGATTGACGGCTGTGGTAACTTTGGTTTTGATTTTACAACAGTTATCCGAGAAGCGCTCTGCTTTGTACTGCGTTGATATTTCATTGTGACATTTTCTTGGAAATTTAAAAACGCCGAAGCAGTACACTTACCTTCCGAGCACCATCCCAAAGGAGTGGTACAGGGGAACTGGTATACATATTCTGGAGTACTAAAAAAAAGGCAAACTACAATTATATATACAATAAATACTTTGGTTTTCGAAACAATTCTAATCTCTTGTAATACACTATCATGCAAAAAAACCGACATACCTGGTTCCCATAATCCAAAACATCTCCCACGTAATATGAATTGTTTAAAACGCCATGGTGAGACAGTGTTACTCCTTTTGGGTTACCGGTTGTACCCTGTCAATTAACCAACAGACAAAGCATTGTCAAATAACAAGAATGAAAACAAATAGAATGAAAACAAATAGAAGGAAAACAAATAGAATGAAAACAAATAGAATGAAAACAAATAGAATGAAAACAAATAGATTGAAAACAAATAGAATGAAAACAAATAGAATGGAAACAAATAGAATGAAAACAGATAGAAGGAAAACAAATAGAATGAAAACAAATAGCATGAAAACAAATAGAATGAAAACAAATTAAAGTAAACCCCCCTCTCCTGCTTTTGCTTTCTTTGAGCAGAACTTACGTACTGAAGTAAACTGAATGTTGATAGGATCATCACATTGGAGTTCATTCTGTAAGTCAACCAATTTTCTTCTATCTTCTTCTCCTCCAGTCTCCATTAACTCTTGAAATGACATTGTACCTCTAGAATAACAGAACAGTCATGATAAAGTCGACAGACAGAAGTCTCTCCTTGCTTTGTTAAAAGAGAAGTACTGTGCACTAGAAACCAATGAAACCCATTGCGATGAAATCATGATACTGACCATGGTTACTGCTGGGTCACAAGAATAAAAGAAATGATAATAATCAACTAAAGAAGCCACAGATTGTGAAACAAATTCTTCTCATCAGAACTTGACGAAATATATGGAGAAAAGTAGGGAGGATACGCATACAGTGTGTAAAGGGTTAGTACAAATTAAAGCATCATTCTGTTACCTGAAGGTTCGTTGATGGTCTTTACTAACCATCACGACTAGCTTAAGATCAGGAAGTCTATAAAGGAAATCACAAATAACCTGACATTGCTATTAAAAAAGTTACTTGTTTTTAAACATAACCCATGGCTCACTAGGAAAATACCAAATATGTAATGAAGAAGTATTGATTCATTCTCTTAGGTACCCTTTCCAACATCATCAAGTACTCAACCAGGTAAGACAACAACTCATTGTTGTGCTGCTTTGTAAAGTCCACTACTGTTCTAATCTAAAATTATCATGATCGTAATAAATTCTAAATAAGTAACCGGAACGACACCATAATTATCATAATTATTACATATTAAATGGATGAACTATTGACCTTTCATTGAAGAGATCGCCTGGACTTGACTGTGGCAATTCATGTACAATGCGTGTCAATATGTTGTAGTAGTCTTGAGTTTTAAATCTGTCAGCCATAATGATTGCTTTACAACCAACCTAAGAATTAGCAAATAATTACATTACAAAGATAGTTTATCATCTTGCAGTAAAAATAAATTGAGACTAATAATTATATATTAAAGAGCTATTTTCAAAATGTACCTTTTTCAAAGCATATTCAACTTCTGGAGCTTGATAAGCAGGGTTTATGTTCACCTACAAAACACAAACAAAAATTCAGTTGATAAATGTAAAAAAAAAATAATGGTTCCAAGACCTAGTTTGCTTCATTTTCAGCACTCATGTCATATATGGTAAGTTCCTTCTAATTATTCACACTTCTCTTTACCAACTGATGTTAAGATAAACATTCTGAATTAATGTATTTTTACAGCATAACCAAAGTAAAGCGTGCGCTCTGATTGGTCAATTTAGTGTCTCCCATTTGCCCATGGGTGTACGCTGCTGATGTGAGCAAATGCTAAGACTATTTTTCTGTGCGTGCTTGTTTTTTCTGGTCACTTAAGATTTGTTAAATAAAAGGGAACTCGTTAGCTACAATGTTTCAATGTTATGTTATAAAACAAATGGTTAACACCACAGTGCACACTATTGAGTTATGGATGCACTTGGGAGGTTTGCTAAGCACTCAAGAAGCTAGAGTCGCTCTCGGCTATCGCCTTGCGCGACTCTTACCCTTCTTTTGTGCTTAGCAACCTCCCGCGTGCATCCATAACTCAATAGTGTACACTGTGGTGTTTACCATTTGTTAATTAATGTTGCATTTCTGGCAGTTAAAGTCTATCATCAATTTGACATTGATAACACTTGCAAGCTGATATTAATCTGCCCTGTGTACCCAGGAACTTGTGAATTTTAATCCAAAACCAGCTGGTATTTCTTCACTCCTAATAACATGTATTATTACAGTATTAGCCAGTATTAACCTCAGTGCACTTACCAATATTAATCCAGCCTTGGCTGTAGCAAACTGAGTGATGACCCATTCTCTCATGTTAGGGCCCCAAATCCCAACACGGTCACCTTTCTTACACCCTGTAGCAAGAAGTCCAACTGCAAGGCTATCTACCTGCATAAAAAAATTTAAAAACTAGTAGTGAATACAAGAAAAGGGAACATACAATCACAAAGCTCATTAGAGCAAAAGTAAACTCAAACAAAACAAGTCACTCAAACAATGAAAGAAACTTTTTTTTTGTCTATTATCATTATTTGTTATTTAAGGAAATTTTAATAGCAAGCCTAGAGTTGACAAATTTGATCCAGTTTTTCTGGCTCTGGTCTATATAAATATATATATATATATTGTCCATGGCTACTGATGTTGATTTGTTGCATGCAAGTTCTTCAAACTGTTCCCTATACATTTCTTATCATACCTACAAGGAAAATTTGTCTAACAATCAAGGGCTTTTTGAGTTTCCAATCAGTCATTTCCTTTAATTTCACATGACCTTAATTTTTGGTTTGGGGAGGTTTGTTGGGAGAACCTAGATGTTTGTTACTTTTCGAGACTGTTACGAAAAATTGTATCGTGTGACTAGCATGACCTTCTAGAATCTTCATGAGAGTTCATAGTTTGTTTATTTTAGTGTCCTTTGTAAGTTTTTTTAAGCAGTATATTTTGTAATCTTTCTATAATTAGACTATTTTAGAAAGTTCTAGAATTTTATTGTGTAGGTATATAGGTAGGCGAGTCCAAGCAAAGTTTTCAACTAGTTTTCACAAGCGAAGAGAGTTCGATGTTAGTTGTGTTTAGTCAAGTGTGATGGAAGCAGTGTTTATTGAAGTTGGTGGAGGCCATGTAAGTTTATCAAATTATGTGCTATTGTAGAGTTTTACTTTGTGGAAACTATGTTCATTTTTAGAATAAATCTTCTTGTTGCTGTTCTGACAACCCTGAGTTCAGTCTGGTCTGCAAGCTACCCATCCTCTAGAAGATTACCCACTTAACAGAAATTAAAGGGTTAACTCTAACCTCTCCTTGTAATTCAGCGAATGTGGCCCTTTCATTGTCTTCACAGCAGACATAAGCTTCAAGATCTGGGAATTTCTTTACTGTCTTGTCTAGCCTTTGTCCAATTGTTTCACCAATGAAACATTTTTGAGATATTCCCTGACAATAACTAAACTGGAGCTTCTCATGGAAACTGCTTGAGATAAAGCAAAGTGACATCATTAAATTACTCAAAATCACTCCTATAGAGTGCTTACATTTACAAGACCAGTTACAAAGGATGGGCTGGTATGAGGAGAAGGGAGTGAATCCCTCCCCCCCTTATTTTAACTCTTGTTGGGAAATTATGCCAGACAGGTTATGGCTCTTGCACCTTTATACCTTTACACCTTGATAAAAGAAACAAAACTTGTATACCCTTTTCAAAAATGGGGTGTATAACTGATTATGTCTCCACACCTTGACTCCAAGATCCCAGACAACTGGCATGGCCTGACTCTTGTGTCTGGGCTGACTGGATAAGCCTTATAATTAGCTAGCCATACTGGCTCAGTTCTTTGGTAGGTTCTGATTTTGCTTCTACCCTCCCTCACTCACCTCCTTCTTCTTCACTATGAGAATGTGTGGTGGTGATACTGTGCCACAGGGAACCAAAGCTCATTGTGAGAGGATAATACAGAAAGCTTTGAATGGATGTTTAGGCTTTGCTCTGTAACTCTGTAAATAATAAGCAAATAAACTCTAACCTCCATATAGTTTTGTTTGTGTTACTTTTGTTCTTTAGCAGCGATTTCAGTCAATTTTGTTGAGTTTTAGCTGGGCTCTCATCCCACCACTGCCTGTACTTAAGAGGAGGAAACATTCCTTCTTCACTGGGATGAAAGCTCAGCTAAAACTACCAGATGTGACCAGGCTCACAATTGTGCATGATATTGCAATATTTTTTGTTATAATTTTAGAATTACATCTTCAGAAACTATTTCCTATGATAACCAAATTAGCATACACACAGGATTTGCACCATAAATTTCCTTTCGCACCATCACACCTAACTATTTCCTATGATAACCAAATTATCATACACACAGGATTTGCATCATAAATTTCCTTTAAAATGATCACACCTAACTTCCAAAATTTTAGTGAATTTCCTGCTATTGTTCAATTCCTTATAAAAGAAGTACAGTTAGTTAGTTTAACTCAGTAGTTCAGAGTGTCAAGACCAGCAGTTACAAGCTCAGAACCTCTTGGTCACAGAAAAAGTAACTCCAGTACATGTAACCTCAAGTTAGTGACCTGTTTTACTGAGGATTTGGTATGTCACATTTGACCTATTATCGTATGTCTTACAGTTTGAGTTCAAGAATAATATGGTTCATGTGTACTTATCTCAATCCAATTGTTTAGTCTTTGCTTGAATCCTTATATTAGTTGATTCATGTTCAAAATGTGTCAAGATTGCATTCAGCTTTCAGAACATTGCATTTATCTGTATACTTGACTTAAAGTTCATTGGTGAAATCAGATATTTCACTACAGTCTTCATTGTTTATTCCTGGATCAGTAATGACGGATGTTGTCCTGTCACTGAATGAGATTTTGCCAGTCTTCCTAGTTTTAAGTCGAAGGACAATATGAAATTGTGATTGAAATTAGTCTTATTTAATGTTATGTTGTTTTGCGCTATTGTTTTATCAGTATTGACTTGTTTTCAGTCATTTCATGTATAATTCTAAGAATAGCCCACCATTCAATAGCTCTATGTTTGGTTAAGAGAATTAAGTCTTTTAAGTGTCACACAATGATTACTGTTCTGTCATGCAATGCTTTGAAATTGTCTTGCTAGTGCCTTGCTATTGTATGACAATCGATTGCATTGTTTTATTTCATTATTTTAAACTATTGATTTGTTATTTGTCATTTATTATTTCTTTTAGCTTGCAATCACCCTTTCTTTTTATCAGTATTATTTCTTTTGTACTTTCCTGTATAAATAAATTTTATTGTGGCTATAAGTCTGTCTCGTTGTTCAAATAACAACATCAGAACCTGCCTCGGTCACACAGAGAACATAAATAACACAAGAAACACTACATGGAAATTAAAGTTCATTTGCTTTATTACTTACGGATTACTGGGTAGAGCCTAAACTCCCTTTCAACTAAAGCTTTGAAACAATATCCTCTCTCAAAGAGCTTGGGGTCCCTGTGGTGTCTACAGTGACCGACACTCACGCAAGTTAGAGTTCCTTTCTCACCTTAATAATAATAATAACAATCTTTTATTAGGAAACTCCATCACAATAGTGGTTTACATAGAGGTCCTAAATACTAGATGTGTATTATATAAAAATACAATTAAAATATAGAAATTTAAGCTAAAATCGAAATATAAAAATGATTACAACATATACACCGCAAAATTTAATTTAGAAAATACTTAATTATAAGAAGCAGAAAAAAGACACTTTTTGAAAATTGGCAAACTTACTGAGTTTCTTACAGTTCTCTCTAACTCATTAAAGTCTCTGAAACAGTGATACCGCGAACGATGTTTTCCCCAATTGTATTTGATTTTGGGGAGCTTTATAGTATGGTTATTGCGCCTATTGTAGGAGTGCATATCACTCTTTCTTACAATGTCCAAAGAATGATTAATTTCGCCATAAATACACTTGTATGCAAATATACATCGATGACATTTCCTACCTTGTGGATGAATAGCGAACCCTTCTGAAAAATTCGCATGATAGTGGCTTAGAGAATCTTTGCATCCATGGTAAATAAAATCGAAGATTACTGCATTTTGCTGCAGAGTTCAGTATTCGTGGCCTTCCTGTTGAGATCGCCACCATTGTGAGAGAACGGAGAGGCAGAGAGGAAACTGGTAAGGAAAATTGAGAACGATTTCATATATAGGCAGGCATTGGAGTGCAAATCGATATTAAAAGGAAGTGAATTCACTCAACCGCGCTTAATTGATGTATCAAATGCAAGTTAAGCTGATGTTGTGATAGTGTACTGGAATGAAGAGAGAAAAAAAAAAATTTTAAAAGATATGTTTGAGGAAAAAAAAAATAGGTGTCAAGGCACTCTTTTTGCCAACGAATTGCGTCATGACATGTGAAACCCCCTTTGGTTACAGTTTTGAAACTACGGTGTCGCCTTCAATACCTACGTATTGAAAATGAAAGTTTGTGAAGGGATAAGATGAAAAGTCCCATATTGTAAGAATAAATTAAATTTAAAGCGGAAAAGCGGATATCTGCAACGCAAAGATACACATCTTTCTAGAATCGTTCAAAGACACCTCGCATTGTTTCCAAAAATTGGGAAAATGGTCATTAAAACATTTCTGTGTTGCTTCAGTATCTACGAAGGATCGTGGGTTTGCGGGTTATGCAGCTTGGTAAGGAAAGAATTACGTCTGTATCGCTTATTTCCGGGTGAGTGGATCGTCAACGATTTTGTAGTCCAAGATAAATGTACCGTTTATTTTCCTGCAGTTGATCGGGTCGGCGAGAGTTTATCTTGAGAAGTTCAATTTGGAGTTTCGCCAGCGGATGACATCAGAAGCGAAAAGCCGTCTATCGATCAACTTTAAAAGTAAGTTCTTTGGGAGTGAAATGGGGTTTTCATTTTGCTCGTTGAATCGTTTTATATCGACATCGAAGTAAGAGTTTCATTACCCCCAGAGGGCGCTCAAACTTTTAGCGCTTTGAACTTGCTTTACGAGTAATGACAGTGTTCTAGTAAAAAGGAGTTTAAAATCTTCGCAATTTCCGCTCTTTGCTTTTTACTTCCTGTGCATCTTCGTCCGACAAGGCTGAACGAAACCGAAAGAATCATGCACAAGTAAAAATAAAAACGGATCAACACAAATTTCCCTCAGAACAGAAATCTATGCTACAGCTAGGATGCGCAATATAATGTCATTTGTTGATAATCGTTTTACATCAGCCGTTATGACTCAGCGCCTATTCTAATAATAGTACCGGCAATAACTGCGATGGCCATTTATTTGTTTCTCTGCTCGAGCGCCCAGAATAACCGAAAAATTTAATCAAAGGTGAAAAACTTCAAGTGTAAAACCACATAAACACGTAATATTTCTGTCGGAAACCTACTAAGACACCGATACAAAGTGAAATTCCAAAGTTTTGAAATTATACACTTTTTTTTAATTTTTACGCGAGAATTTATTTTTGGATTCATTACGCCGTCAGTGAAATGAACTGGAAAATTCTTTGCGTTAGCTTTGAGAAGTTCTAGCTGTAGTTTTTAAATTTGTTCCTCCATAGCTCTCCAGTTCATAACAATACTTCAGTTGTCTGTGGCAGCGGTGTCTATTGTGGTGTCACTGTTGATGCTGTTTGGTCTACTTAAGGTTTGTTCTCTGATGAGTTTAAATTCTCCTTACTGACTGCCATACAATTCTTATAATGTCAGTTTGAAGTATTTGGTATTGGATCCAGTACAAAATTCGACCTTTCGGAAAAGAGACGTCCGTGGCAAAATAATAATCAGTTGTTTAGGAAAGTTTAGGAAAGTCAAGTTGTCACACTGTTCCGTGTTCAGTAATAAATGAACTACGCAGCGTTATTCGGATAACAGAAGCTGTCCTTTTAGATTAGAGGCGGGATATACCTGTCAGCTGAAGGGTGGGGTGGGGGGTTCTCATTTAGTAATACCCCTGAGGTTCTATCGTGAAAGACTGACGGAAAACCTGGAAACAAACCCCCGTACATCCAAAATCTAAAGTTAAGGAAATGTCGATAGCTGTAATTGATTCAATTGGATTTTACGTTTCTTTCTTCAGCGTCTGAAGTGGCTGCTGTGTCCCTGGTTGGCGTGGGTCTTGATTGAGGAGCTTTGTTCCATCTGTGTGATCTTATTTTATGTGTTTTATGATGTCAAGGTAGGTGATAACGAGTCGTTGTTGTGGATTGTCGAGGTGAAGTGGTAGGGCAAAAATTATATTTCGACCCATCTACCTTGAGTTTAAATATCACGTAATGCAATGGCTACAATAAGTAGTTTAACGTTGGATGGGCATAACTTGAAGGTTTTCACACCGCGTAGGATAAACACGCATTTCTGGCTTTGTTACTTTCGTTTCCTTTGTCGGAGTTTGTCTCTATTAACTCTGGTCTCGCGTACCTATCAGGCCTCGGCGTCCGTCATTATATATTTCCAAGCCCGATTTCTGCAAACTCTGAAAATCTGTAAAACAAATCTGACAGTACTTTGATTGTTGTATTATTGCAGCTGAAATGTTCCGTCTACATATCGGAAACAATCACATTTGTCATCGCTGTAAGTAAAACAAAACTTTATTGCAATGCAAGATAGGGAATTGAGTTAAGCCCAGGCAGCTTTGGAAAACATCACTTTTTACAAGCAAACTGCTTAAACAAAATGTTGCACAATAACAACACTAATAACAAACAGAGAAAGAGAGAAATATAACTTTTTTCTTTTAGCATTTTCCATAAACATTTCATGTCCCTTGCTCAATTGCGCCGTCAAGTTCTGTTAGAGGCTGGAAAGTCAGTTTCCTGATATACAAAGTTTACTCTTCAACCTTTCATAGAAGATTTAACGACTGAAGCACCCGTTAATGAAAAATCATTTCGTTCGCCTTCTTCCATTGACCAAATAATTGGAAACAGAACAGTACAAGCCCTTTAAGCAGATGAATCGACTCTAATTTTTTTCAGAAATAAGGATTTTACAACAAAGGAACTTTGTTTCTTTCTAGATTTATTTCATGATGTGTGTTTTCTCCTACTTTAAATTTCTGAGACAACAAGACATCGTCACTGATGAGGTAGGATTGAAAACCCCAATAAGACTTGAGATTCCATGGCAGATTAAAATGTAATTTCTCCATAAAATACCAAGACATTATTAGGCAAACTTTTGATGAGATCAGACAAACTCATCAGCCAGCGTTATTTTGTTAAAATGCCTAATTCTCACGACTAATTTAGAAGAAAATGTATGGAAGCCAAAACGAGAATAAAACTGCAAATCAAATCACAAGAGTTTAACTGTCAAAGTTACAATTTATTGCAGTTTTTCAGGTTCTAGAAACGTAGCTAAGTAAATAATTTGTACCAAGGTATTCCACTGATTGACAAAAGATAAAATCAGGCCACTCCCTTCTTTGCAAAGTTTGCTATCTTATGACAGGTATTACCATAAGTGTTGTAGAGAAAGGAGAATAGATTAAAAAAACAGGGGAATGTTCCCCAACTTTAAGTAACGAAAAGAAAACCCAAATTTATAAAATTAAGCTAGAGAACTCTGCACAATAGGTGGAGAATTCTTGAATCTGCAATCTCATACATCAAACTTCTCTTTTCTTTGCACACATCAATCTCTTGTATAAGCTTTACTCATTCATCAACTATGATATTTTGTGAAAATTTTCAGTACCGCACAGCAGTCCAACTCAATTATGAGCCGAAAGTTGATGAAAATAGCCCTCTTCTCAACAGACCTATCTGAGGAGGACCATGGAACACCAAAAGTTCATATGGAAAACCAGGATCACTTCCATCAAATGTACAATTTGTTTACCTTGTCTGAATCAAGATAATTACACAAAATAAAATAAAATACAATTATAAAAAATGTTCATATTCTCAGGGCTCAGAAATTTTATAACAACTGTTTAGTCTGAAGATAGGGAATGTCTTTTCTCAGTTTTATTTTTTTGCACCAAATTAACTTAAGGAGGATGACACAAATGAAGTTATGGCCATTATTGATATCCTCTATGTTTGTTAAGGCTTAGGTTGTTTTCTTTCAAAGCTTAAACAAACATAGTGGAAAAAGTAGTTACTGTAACAAATACTTACAAACAAATTAAAATCAGTTACTACACTCTATGAAAACCCCACATTATGTGCAAAAATGGGACTTGCATAGTACATTTTTCTATACAAAATGCTGATTTGAGGTTCGTAAAAAGCTTGGTATCATAATGTAATATCAGCAAAAAAAAGTACTTTTAAAGATTACTATTCAATAGAATTAGGTTGGTTACTTAACCTAATGAAATGCAATAATAGAAGAATCTTTCTATCTTATGAAAGAGTAAAACATCAAAAGTCAAATAAATTATCAGATTTGTTTTAAACTTGTCATCTATTGATACTAAAGTGAGTTAAATGAGTATACTGGTAACTGGTGTTTTTATCAAACATTGTTACAATTCAAATATTTTCTTGTTCAAAATTTTTAAAATCAGTTTTAATCTTAGTTTTCCTTTGTCTTAGACTGTGATANACTTCACGTGCACCTCCGCCAATGTAATCTATTGCATAACTTGCACTTATTGCAAAAAGATATACATCGGCGAAACAGGCAGAAGACTAGGTGACCGATTCCGAGAACACCTTCGAGACGTGGAAAGGAATGACAAGGACACATCGAAACCAGTCGCTAGACATTTTAATTTACCTAATCATTCTAAGCAACATATGGCAATCTGCGGTCTTTCCTTGCACTTAGGTGGCACGGAAAGCCGTAAAAATCTTGAACAAAAGCTCATCTTTCAAACCGGCAGTCTAAATCCCACAGGGATCAATGAACGCTTTTCATTCCACTAATTTATTCATGTTTTTCTCGTTGCCATGCACCCACCAATAACGTAGCTCCATTTTCTGCCTTTAAAAGCACACACAACCCACAATTCCTCTATTCGCTCCGACGAAGGGCTAACGCTCGAAACGTCAGCTTTTGTAATCATTACGGTGGCCAATTTACCATTTCAACTTTGTTGATATATCCAAATTATTTCGTTACTCCCACCGACGCAGCCCCAAACAGTTTCTTTCGAAACTATCAGCCTTTATACAATAAGTATACCCTACTCCAATATGTCACTAGTTTATTAGTTTTTAACTATTATGTGTCACCCTCACTAAATAAAGACATTACTTACTTACTTATTTTCAATGCAGATACTAAGAAACTGGATGAGAAAGACTATCAGCATGGATAAAGTACACCACAGCATACACTATTGAGTTATGGATGCACATGGGAGGTTGCTAAGCATGAGAGATGTGTTTACTCTTACAAGAGTCACGTGAAGGGATAGCTGAGAGTGACTCTAGCTTCTTGAGTGCTTAGCAAACCACCCAAGTGCATTCATAACTCAATAGTGTATGCTGTGGCATTTACCATTTGTTTTATAACATAACATTGATACATTGTAGCAAGAGAGTTTTCTTTTATATGTGACCAGAAAAAACAAGTGTGCACAGAAAACTAGTCTTTGCATTTGCTTATGTCAGCAGCATACACCCATAGGCAAATGGTGGATGCTGAATTGACCAATCAGCTTTACTTTGGTTATGTTATAACCATTTCCTAAGGTGTTGACAAGGAGAATTTTTTTAACAATCAAGAGCTGCTTTAGCTGGTGATCATTTCCTCCATCCTTATAAATTACCTTCATTTTTGATTCAGGAGTTAAATTTGAGGCATGTTATTCTGAGGGGTGTTAGGGTAAATTTTTGTAATTAAAAAGAATACATAAACACCAAAACCCCTAAGCACTGCTTAGTGACATCTATTAGTGAAGTGTGAAAACATTCAGACATTCTGCCACTGAGCAAGACATTTCTTTTAACCATGAATTTGATGTTTTATTATATTAAGGCTTTAAAAGTGATTTTGCATTGTACTTTTCAGGCTTGAAATGTAGTTCTTAAATTCTATTGTTGTATTTTTATTAGGCTCTTTGAATGTGATAATTTATGAAAATTCTTAAAGTAAGTGAATTCTTTAAGATACAGGGACCCTATGGAGACCAACCTTGGAGCTGAATGGGCTACCCTATGTAAATAAAGTTTTACTTTACTTTATGTATCCTGCAACACCACATGAAAATGCTACACAATATCAACACAGTATCAACACAATATCAAGCAGAAAAATGATGAGAATTAAGAAAAAAAAAACAACTAGGAGATGATTATTTGACACAAAACCAAATTCTGAGAACTAAAACTACAATAAATTTTTAGTTAACAGTAAAGAGAACTACTATTGTAATCTTGGGAGTTACCAGTTAAAGCAAAGAAAATTTCTGTAGCTTTCTTAAACAAAAATAACGTGATTACCTTCAAAGAGGATTTCCTTGGAAAGGAAAAAACAGGAGATTGGTAACAAAATCATGGCAAGAGAAAACTTCAAAAGAGTTATTAAAACTGACTTTTCTCGAGGCCTGTCAGTAAAAAAATCAATCAATCAGTTGTTAAGTGAGCGAGTCATTTGATCAGTTGCTTAGTCAGTTGGTCAGTCTGTGTCAGACTACCAATCAAACAATCTGTCACTCAAGTTTATCTTCCAGATTGGCACTCTTAATCCCAATGGCATGAAAGAACGCTTTTCATTCTACAAAATAATGTATTCTTTTTTTTCTCATCACCATGTTCCCACCAATAGCCTAGCTCTACTTTCTGCATATGAACACACATACAACCCACAATTCCTCCATTTGCTCTGATGAAGGGCTAACGCTTGAAAGGACAGCCTTTAAACTCTTTATGGTGGCCAATTATCAACTGAGTTGATAAAACCCCAATTACCTTGTTAACTCTCTTTGATGCAGCACCATAGTCTCTTTGGAAACTTACTCCCTTTATTCATTCAGTACCTCAGTCTGCCAGTTTATATATGAGTCAGTCATAGAGTAAGTAAATCTAATTGTGAAAGTGTAGTGTGATCGTCCAGGTGATCATAGTCCTGAGAAGGACTGTTGTCAGTGGTGGTGACTGACATTTTGCCAACCTGTGCGGAAGTCATCATCAGCACAGGTTGTCGAAACATCAGTCACCACCACTGACAACAGTCCATCTCAGGACTACACTCACCCGGACGATCACACTACACTTTCACATGTTACCCCCAGGTTCAAATCATTTACTTAATATAATTGGTCAGTCAGCTACCTATGGTAAGCCACGATGCCACCAGAGCCTTGAGCTGATACACATGTTACCCCCAGGTTCAAATCATTTACTTAATATAATTGGTCAGTCAGCTACCTATGGTAAGCCACGATGCCACCAGAGCCGTGAGCTGATACAGTCAGGATAAATATTTGAAATACATGAATGCAAAGCTCTATCACTTTGACAATTACTAATATTACAAAACCATCAAACTTACCCTAAGGGCTGTCCTTGACCATCAGATGTATTCATTGTTCTTAATATTTTCGATAAATATATGGCTAAGTAACTAGATGTGTACAAAAGTCACGAATTACTAAACTCTCTTATGAAAAACATTCACTGCTACCTGTCCGCCATCTTCTTTTTCAACTGATAAAAGGACGTGGAAGAGTGGGACTAGTCAGCCTCACTCTCTGGCGATCTCAGATGTATTGCGTCAGACGTCAGACAACAACATGGCGGCAACAATTCGTATCCTTGGCGCAAAATTGTCGCGTTCATCTGTGTTATATTTTCTCAAAAGCCATCCCTTCACGACAACGATTTTAAGGTTTAGCTCAGGTAGTTTCTCGAGATGGCGAAGGCTTTATCTTCCTCCCAGAAAGAGCTTGCAATGGCGACTCATAGCGGGATCAACAGCTGGTGTGCTCTGTGGAGGAATTGCTTTCTGTATGAGCTCAGGTATGTTTGAGATCAACGCGATTATGATCTGACTGATTCAGGCCAAATGCTATAATTATTAATCCTAATATTTTTACGAAACGAACCATGCTATTATGATATGTGTGCCAAGACGAAAGATTTTCAGTGATGTTATGATATTCATAACATCATGCCCCGATCACTGAAGATCTTTGTTTAATTAACCCTTTCACTCCCAAGATATTCTTAGTAATTCTCCTTACTGACTGCAATGCAATTCTGTTGAGGTAAGTTCTGAGAATTTGATCAACTATTGATTTAATGTATTTTTTGTGTAACTGGTTTAGTATTCAACATTGATTTATTTGTTTATTTATCTATAGGTGGATTGATTTAAATTCGTAATTGATTATTTGTTTTTAGTTCTTTGTGTACATGTGTTGTATTAGCACCTTCTAGTCAGGAATTCTTTGTCTAAAAGTCAAAAGATGCATAGAATTTTCCTTAAAAAATGAATGAATATGCTTCTCCAGGTGTTGCTGAGAGAATGAGCAGATTAGCAAAACGTAATGAGACCAATGAACTCCAAAGGTAGGTCAGGCGTCAGTGATATTTATGGCAGTAGGTTGTTTGGTTATGATGTTCTATAATTAACAAATGGTAAACACCACAGAGTACACAATTGAGTTATGGATGCACGTGGGAGGTTGCTAAGCACGAAAGAAGCGTAAGAGTCGCATGAGGCGATAGCCGAGAGCAACTCTAGCTTCTTGAAAGAAGCGTAAGAGTCGCATGAGGCGATAGCCGAGAGCAACTCTAGCTTCTTGAAAGAAGCGTAAGAGTCGCATGAGGCGATAGCCGAGAGCAACTCTAGCTTCTTGAAAGAAGCGTAAGAGTCGCATGAGGCGATAGCNGTGGTGTTTACCATTTGTTTTATAACATAACATTGATACATTGTAGCTAAAGAGTTCACTTTTATTTAACAAATCTTACGCGACCAGAAAAAACAAGCGCTTGCGGAAAAATAGTCTTTGCATTTGCTCACGTCAGCAGCGTACACCCATGGGCAAATGGGGGACGCTAAATTGACCAATCAGAGTGCACACTTTACTTTGGTTATGTTATAAATTAACTGAGATATTATCCCACCATCAGGCTGATTGATCAAGGTCATGATGTCAACCAAAAGCATCAGCTGGGATGGACTCCACTTCATACTGCAGCTTTTAATGGCAGTGAGAGGTAATTGTTAGGAATATGAATTTGTTTGTTTTCTTGCTATTGTCTCCCTCCCAACCTAACTATCTTCTATTTAACAATTATTCCACGAGCGCGCATTGGATATGAGATGATAGATAGCCAACGTGGTGTGTAGTGCCGAGTTGGCTATGATCATCTCATATCAACAATTGCGAGTGGAATAATTGTTTTATTAAAAAAAACGCCCCCAAGATATTAGACAAATCTTCTCGACTTTATTTTGTGAGAAGAGACTGGATGTTACGATGTACAGATATTAGATTAGGGTATATTGGCTGATATACCATAATGGCTAAGCCAATAAAAAGTCTTGAATTGCATTATCCAATGATCCAGTTTTTAATAATCTCCTTTATCCTTTGCTATTCCTTTTTTATAATGATAAATTCTGCTGTATCACCCTGCATTTAAAGGTCTGTGGCACTCCTACTAAAGGCAGGAGCTGATGTCAATGCAAAAGATGAATTCAGCACAGCTTTCCGAACTGCTCAAAAGAAGCACATGAGATCCTTTGATGGTAATAGTGTACAAGTTACTCCTAAGAGTTATTTGAAGGTTTCCTTAAGATTTTTCTAGTACCTATATCTACAAATGTTCCTGGGTTGAGAGAGACATTTAAGATAAGAGCCTTACCAAAGAACACTACTACACAGTGACACTGTTATCTCTTACATACAAAGCTCTTCATCTGGAGCTCAGCAGGATAGCGACTGGCCTTTCCTTTCTTTGACAATGCTTTGTAAATAATTTTTTCTAATTATATTAATGTTTTAGTGATATTCATGCGAGATGATGACTTCAGTGACAAACTCCATCGCGGTGCTAACTTCAGTGGCTTTACCCCACTCCACTATGCAGCTCTTGGCGATAGCCTTGAATGTGTCCAACTCCTTCTTAATGCTGGTAACTTTTTTGAGTTGTTTAATTTGTAAAAAATTATTCCTATTCATACACAGGACCAATCTATTAAGCCTTGGAACCCTAAGAGTACCGACTGTGTTATTTCTCCCTTCATTTGTGACCCCTGAATCACATAGTAAGGTCAAATGAATAAAGGAATGGATCAGTAACTAAATAAGCTCTTGTTTGTTTAAATATTCTCGTTGTCAGCACTTTAAGAAAAGTGTAGAGAACTGTATGGAGAATATGCACACTGATGTTTAGGTGGAAAGGTTAAGTTTTTCACTCTGACTAAGGATGTTGTATGATTTACGTGAACACATTCTTCCTGCCGCTTTATAGAAAGAGTGTTTCTCAAAAGATGTTTAAATTTCATTTTTATGATAATAGTTTAATTTGCTTGTCTGCTTGTTGTTTTGTTTTGCCAATAGGAGCTGATCCAACTCTTAAGGATAACTCAGGCTACCAAGCAGTGGAATATGCAGGGAATGTAAAGATTAAAGAGTTCTTGATGAAAAACATGGATATGGTAATAGATGTTAATGTCTTTTTGAAGCTATCCTTCAAATTTTTTTATTATGCTAGCATAGTATAGGCCAAATACTGCAATTTTTTCAAAAACTGTATCTTTGTCAATATTGAGAGACAGCAAAATTTCATGTAAATAAAACAGTAGCTGTTGCCGCTTTGTTTTGTAATGAAAATGTCATAACTTGTTTCAGTATGTGAAACAGAAAAAGAGGAGAGAGATTGAGGAAAGCCGGCGATATCCATTGGAGATGCGATTAAAAGAGAATATTGTAGGACAAGAAGGAGCCATCCTCACAGTTGCTGCAAGTACGAATTTTTATGTGACAAACCCGGTTTGGGACGACTGCAGGTCATCAATTCGGGAATGCCATTATCTCAGACAGTAAGATTCTGTTGAGTTTGTTTTCCATTTGTTTGCAGCTATCCGTAGGAGAGAAAATGGTTGGTACGATGAAGAACATCCCCTTGTCTTCCTTTTTCTTGGATCTTCAGGGATTGGTAAATTCTCTTTTAAAGAACACAGATTCTGTTTGCACATTTGAGCTTACTCACATGAAATGTGTGCAATCTGATATAACTACTGTACAGTATTGAATTAACAATGACTGTCACTTTACACAGACTTTCTAGTAACAGATTTCTGGAGATCTATGCTGGAAAAAAATTACAAGTGTAATTTGAATCTGCTTTCAAGTTTCTAAATCATAGACAGAGAATTCTATTTATGATTCATTATTCTTGCTGAACCTTCCTTATTGTAGGAAAAACAGAGCTTGCCAAACAATTGGCTAGGTATCTTCACAAAGACAACAAGAAGGTACTCCAGAGTTTTGTTTCAAAAGTGTATTTTGCTTTCAAACAGTTGAAGTCTACCAAAGTTTATTGCTGGTTGTCTTTCTTTCTCCCCCAGGGTTTTATAAGACTGGACATGTCTGAATACCAAGAAAAGCACGAGGTAAAATTTGATTCACAGTAAATCCTCCAATAAGCCACCCTCTCTAATAAGCCACCTCCTATGAATAAGCACCCCCTCTATTAAGCCCCCACCCCTCCCCCCTAAAAAAAAAATCAAACTAACAGTCCATGTCAGTAAGTCTGATAAATTTATTCAAGTACTGTAATTTTAGTTTGTCATTTAAAATTGATTATGGTGATTGATTGATGTTATCATGTTGGCATCAAGAGAATACGGTATACGGAAATTACAGAGCGATGCTAAAATATAGCATGCTTAAACAAGGTCCATTGAGGGGGTTACATCATAAAATTGAGTTCTTTACTGTTTGCTGCTTGACTTCCAGATTCATGTGCCAAGGTTTTTCCAAACAAGCCAACCCCCCCCACAAAGCACCTGGAATAAATTAGCCCCCCCCCCCCAGGGGTCTTATTAGAGGATTTACCCATGAAAGGAGGTTTAACCCATCATCAGTATGCATATTCTCCATACTGTTCTCTACACATTTCCTAAGGTGTTGACAAGGAGAATTTGCTTAACGACCAAGAACTTCTTCAGTTGGTGATCATTTCCTTTATTGTCACGGCCTTGATGTTAGATTCAGGGCGGATGCTGTTAGGAGAAATGATTGCAGTCACTCCGCTTGGGATTAAAGGATTAAGACTTTCATATTTGTCACTCACATTTTCCCGCGCTTCATTACCATTGACTCGTGTGATATTTACCTTTGTTCTGATTGGCTGTTGTACTTGCCTTGGTCTTGGTTTTACTCTCAAACGAGAATCGCTCAAACTGAAACGTAAACATTTTTCTTGCAAGGTTGCGAAGATGATCGGCGCACCACCTGGTTATATTGGACACGATCAAGGTGGTCAATTGACGAAGAAACTTAAGGAGTTTCCAAATGCCGTGGTGTTGTTTGACGAGGTAAGAAAGAAACAAGTGATCCTCAAATTTCTAGAGGTTTCTTTCCTGTGGCTAATATTGCTTGATATACATCTTTTAGGTTGATAAGGCCCACCCAGACGTTTTAACAGTCATGCTCCAATTGTTTGACGAGGTAGCGTTTGTACTTAAATTGAGTGAAATGAATGGTTTTGTTTTTTTTAATGTTACTCCACTTTATTTAAAATCACCAAAAATATTTACAATGAATATTTACAGTGAATGGTTTTATTTATTTACAGCCTTTATTTACAGTGAATGGTTTTATGTTTTAATTTTTTTATTATTATTTTCCTTCTTTTTAACTTTTGATCGAAAAACCTCTGTTTTTGATTCAGGGTCGTTTGACGGACGGACAAGGGAAGACAATTGTATGCAAAGACGCCATATTTGTGATGACTTCAAATCTTGCTAGTGAAGAAATAGCAAATCATGCATTGGAGCTGAGAAGAGAAGCAAAACTAGCTGCAGAACAAAGAGAAGAGGGTGAGTGAGTTTTGTTTGGGGGCTTGAATTTCGTTAATGTTGGACGGCGAAATGCGGGATAAGTTTGGACAGAAATGCAGCATTTCATAACACAAACTCGTATCTCAGTAAGTGAGTCAATTGAACATTCGTCCTTCCTTACCTTGGAAATATCTAGTGACGCACATATTGATACATTTGCAAGTCGCTGTGAAATAATAGCCAGTCTGGCTGGACCAACAAGGGGAGGGAGGGGAGGGAGGGGAGGGAGGAGGAGAAGACAGTTTATCTGAACACGCGAAAACAAAGTTGGCCAGAGGAAGTGTGCGCCAAAACAAAAGTTTGCTCTTTTTTCTAATGTGCACGCTTTCTAGTTTGCATGGACAACAATTCACTGTTTTTCTTTTCAGGTCATGAAATATGCGAAAAAGTTACTATATCAAGAAAGTTTAAAGAGAGAGTAGTCCAGCCCATTCTGAAGGTAAACATTCCCTGGGCGATAAATTGCAACAAACTTGGTAAACATTTCCCTTGCAATAAATTGCAAGAAACTTGGGTTTATAAAATGAAAAAATCAAAAATAAAATGAGTGATGCCTATTATTGTTATATTATACTATTAATATTAATATTATATTATGTCTTCTTTTTTTGTCAAAGCTGAAGGGTAGTTATCATAACACGTTCTTAAGAGCTTTTTGTTTCTCCTCGTGCCGACAGCTTCATTTCAGACGAGATGAGTTCCTGGGTCGCATCAATGAGATGGTTTATTTCCTACCATTTTCACGCCCAGAGCTGTTAAGCCTAGTGACGAAGGAGCTGGACTTCTGGTCAAAGATGGTTGGTATGATGCTCTCCTGTAACCAATTGTAAATAAACTCAAGCAGTTGTGAAAGAAGTGATCAAAGTCTACGTGGAATTTCTTTTTTGGTTAAAAACAGGCGTTGAATCGACATGATATCCACATGACTTGGGATAAAGAAGTCTTGGATGTACTGGCTGATGGTTACGACGTACACTACGGAGCGAGATCCATAAAACACGAAGTAAGATCAATTCTGTGTTTTCGACTTTATCTTGTGGAGTAATTTTTTTCCTTCCCCCCTCTCATCTAAAGAACTCAAAGTTTCTCTCGTCTCTTCGCTGAAGAGCTTCAATTGACCACTTTCATAAATGGCTGCCGAATTAATATTCTTTTGTTTAAATTGAAATTAGCCTTTCTGGCCTCGCTTGAGATAATGTATTCTCTTGAATTTTGTACCGGAGAACGAGGCCAGAAAGGCTAATTTCAATTTAAACAAAAGAATATTAATCTGGCAGCCATTTATGAAAGTGGTCAATACAATTCAACGCCTAACAGAATGAGAAATTGAAAATAGCATGAACGGAAGGGATTGGAAATGATGGGAGATGACAAAACGCGAAGCCCTACTTCATCATGGAGTACCCTATGGAGTACTTAAATGGAGTACCCCTAAAAATCATGTATTCGTCAGATAAAATACTTTATAAACATGGTAAATCGTATAGATGTACACATCTTAATACATTTTGGGCTTGCCAGCTCTCAGATTGTCACAGTTCGATACAGTCCAGTTTTTTGGGGGGCAGGGGGCTCACAGTCTTACTGGTTTCTCCATTTTGGTTTTACCGCTGTGTAATGCGTCCTTTGACCGGAAGACAAAAAAACTCCATATGATGAACAAAACCCACTGTTTCGAGTTTTGCACGAGGTAAAATATTTCAGGTTACTGCATTTTCCAAATCAACCGCCCCAGTCAGATGTTTACTGACCCATCAGTGTTCTTTTTTGTAACGTTGTAGTTGTTTCTTTATATATCTCTATTTTATTACGCTATAAATAGATGGATGAAGAAAAGGTCAGTTTAAACACATGAATTACTTTTTTTCAAGTCCTAGCTTTTATCCTCATTGCTTCACAAAATTAAGAAACACACGAGGCCTTGTTTAACTTGTGTTGATAGATTAAACGCCACACCTCTTACAGAGTACATAAACAGGTATTTTGAAAGACGTAAAACTCGCAGCCGATTGAAGTACGTTTGAAGTTAGAAGTTTTATTTATATATTCATAAATACATACCAGTTAAAAAACTGAATTGCGTATCTACTCACATAATACAGATAGTAAAATAAAACTAATTTAGATATTAACTACTTAGTTATTAAAAAGCGTTCAATCGGCTAAAAAAAGGGAAAGCTAAAATGAGTACGCTTTAAGGCATGAGGAAATAATAAAACTATTTTTAAAACGACTGGTTTTGAAGCGTTGTACATTAAAAGGTCGCGCACGCCTTAACAAGTTGGTAGTTTCATGTGCTGCTGGTATTAACTTTTGAAGACGGTGATTGTTGTCATTTACAATTTTGTCGAAAAGTGACTCACATATTTCGTCGTGATGGATGGCTAATTCTTTAAATTTCATAATATCCAGGGCCTCATGATATCTATGACCAGGACAGATAATGGACATTGCTTTCTTCTGTACGTGTTCTAATTCTCGCATTAAATATTTAGGCAAACTATAGTGAAAAACCGGTACTGCATAGTCCATGATTGATCTAATACAACTAGAATAAAAGAGCCCTAGATCAGTACGAGCAACCTTGGCTCTCTTAAGTTGAATCAAGAAATATAATCTCTTAGAGGCTTTTTTAACAATTTCATTAATATGGGTATTCCAGGTCAAATTACTGGAGATATTAAGACCCAAAAGGTTTACATTTTCTAACACTTCTAAAGGATCGCCATTTGTGAGAATGGGCTCAAATTCTTGCTGGAACCTTGAAAAGGATATTCGCATCTCTTTACACTTTTCACTGTTTAATTGGACTAAACAATTTTCATTGTTTAATACGTCCGTACTTTTGGCCTCTTGAAGATCATAAGATGAAGATGGTAATCGGTCTATTAAAGAAAACGTTCACATATTACATTTAATTAAGCCTTCCGTTTGAAGTGGCCAGCAGTTTAATGTCATTAAATTCAAGATGGCGGTAAATTCGTGGACTGTATCGAACTGTGACAATCATACAGCTGGCAAGATCAAAATACATTAAGGTGTGTACAACTAAACGATTTGCCATCTTTATAAAGTATTTTATCTGACCAATACATGAATTTTAGGGGTACTCCATTCAGGTACTCCATAGGGTACTCCATTGGGTACTCCATTCAGGTACTCCATAGGGTACTCCATTCAGGTACTCCATAGGGTACTCCATAATGTACTCCATTCAGGTACTCCATAGGGTACTCCATAGGGTACTCCATTCAGGTACTCCATAAGGTACTCCATAGGGTACACCGTTCAGGTACTCCATAGGGTACTCCATAGGGTACTCCATTCAGGTACTCCATAGGGGAATGCATAGGGTACTCCGTTCAGGTACTCCATAGGGTACTCCATGGAGTAGGGCTCCGCGTTTTATCATCTCCCGGAAATGGTCGGTATTGAAAGGAGAATGCCAAATAGAAGAAATGCTTATAGCACAGCGCGAAATGACACGAAAATATGTGGCTGTTGGCAGGTGCAGGAAGAGTCTTTCTTTGGTAATGTTTTTGTGGTGGGAGGACCCTCGCCTATATATTTTCCATTTGAAAAGGATGCCAAAACAAACGAGAACTGAAGCAGGTATTTAAATTATTCTCACGGGAAAATTACTGAATTTGATGCAGGTTGAAAGAAGAGTTGTCAATCAACTTGCTGCTGCGCATGAGCGAGAGTTGATAAGCCCCGGATGCACCCTACACTTAACAGTGGACTACCCCAACAATAAAAGTGGACGGAACTCACAAGAAGTAACTCCTACCATCAAACTGCAGCTCGTGAAGGAAGGAAAAAAGAACGTCGACATTGATGTTGGAAATTATTTCGTTCCTGAAGATAAACTATTCTTTTGAAGGAGACAAAGAGAGGGGAGACAAACCGGAACCGGAAATGAATTTGAATGGGTAGTCAGCAGGGAGAATTAAAGACCGGTACCTTGTTAAGATCTTCTTACCATTCCATTCTTTGGTCATGAATCAGTCGCTGTTCAAATGCGTACAGAATAAGTTGTGCGCATACACCAAAAACGAGATTATCTTAGAATGTTTATGGAGAACACGTTAACTGAATGTTTGGGCAGAGCCTCGTGATGGTAGTTGTGGAATCAAAGGAAGACATGTGTAGACACTGTTCTGGTTAAGCCCTCTTTAAATGTAAATGTGCGTAAAGAAATACAACAGGGCCAGGATTGGACCGAACTCGACGGGCGCCGAAAAAAACAGCAACTGTGCAATGAAAAACATCTTAGAACCGGATTGCTTCCGAGTGCATCCAAAATTTCAAATAATGGAGAATATAAAGAAAAAACTATTTAGTAAGTAGTTTCAGTCATCATTAGGTATAGTGAGTTCCATTGATCCACGTCCCTCTCTCTCCCCCTTCCCTCCCCTCCCCACCAAAAAAAGTCGTTGCCAATTGTCGTTGCCCTTGTAGGGGTTCCTTTTCAGGGTCATTTGAAGCTTTTTTCAATATTACATCCAACACTATTCCTGAGACCTACTGAACTCATTTCAACTTTGCAAATACAAGGTAAATATAACCAGTGAAATATATTTGTGCTGGAAACATTCCAAACTGAGGACATAATCCGAATCCACGATTAACCATCACATCAGTATCTTGTGTCTATTTATTTCTTATTAAATCATTTCTTGATACGATACATTCTTCTTCGCGTTCCTACTGTATGAAAAAAATCTTCTAAAATGAATTAACTCGTTATATTACTTTAAAAACTCAGAAACGGTGAAAGAAAACCAAGAATAAAGCCGAAGTAAAACTTAAGCCTCACAATACCAGTTGTTTTTAACCTGCGCCCGGGAAAATAATTGGTTTTGTAACCAACGCAAAGTGAATGACTTCAATTGCTTTAAGTGAACTGGAACATTTAATCCAAGAGTTTTTAAATAAAATCTGCAAGAAGACGTCCTAAATTTCGAGCATAATGAGCGTGTTTGACAAGCTATGCCTAGCGTTATAGAAGGATACCTCTTAAAATTGTCCTATAAAAGGAAATTCTCACACATAAAGCACGGCGACTCATTACATTAGCAAAATTCTTCACTAAACAATTCCTTGTTCAAGCATGGATTGAGCGACCTTAATGAAGCCGCCGATATTTGCTCCCTTTACGTAATCGATGTAGCTGCCATCTTTGGACGTGCCATACTGGACACAAGTGTTGTGTATACTTTCCATGATGTCATGCAGGCGCTCGTCCACGCCTTCTCGTGTCCAGGCGCTGCGCAGACTGTTCTGAGACATCTCAAGCCCAGATACTGCCACGCCTCCAGCATTGGATGCTTTACCTGGCCCGAAGAGGATTTTATTTCTGCGAAATTCGTCAATCGCTTCAGGATCGGATGGCATGTTAGCGCCTTCTGCAACAGCATAACAGCCATTGTTGATCAGTATTTCCGCGTCTTCTTTGCTAATTTCGTTCTGGGTCGCACAAGGTAAAGCCACGTCGCACTTCACGAACCACGGTCGTTTTCCTTCGAAGAATTCGGCGTCAGGGTACTTTTCCACGTACTCGCTTATTCTGCCACGTTTGACATTTTTGAGCCATTTCACATATTCGATCTTCTCTTGGTTTAAACCACTGTGGTCGTACACCGTGCCTTGTGAGTCGGACAAGGTAACCACCTTACCACCTAACTGCACCACTTTTTCTGACGCAAACTGCGCCACGTTGCCTGATCCCGAAACCGTAACAATTTTTCCCCTAAAGGTCTCGCCCCGTGTGTTGAGCATCTCTGCGGTGAAGTATACAAGACCGTAGCCGGTAGCTTCAGGTCGGAGCAGACTTCCACCGAAGCTGAAAGACTTCCCCGTTAAAACCCCAGTGAACTCGTTACGTATTTTTTTGTACTGGCCAAACAGGTAACCGATTTCTCTTGCTCCCACGCCAATGTCCCCAGCTGGGACATCCGTATTCGGGCCGATGTGCCTCTGGAGCTCCGACATGAAAGACTGGCAGAAATTCATAACCTCGTTGTCGGTTTTACCCTTGGGATCAAAATCAGATCCCCCTTTTCCACCTCCCAGGGGTAACGTTGTAAGGCTATTCTTAAACACTTGCTCAAAGCCAAGAAACTTAAGAATTCCTAAGTTGACGCTGGGATGAAAGCGCAGGCCACCTTTGTAGGGGCCAATGGCTGAATTGAATTCTACACGAAAGCCCCTGTTGACGTGGACCTCTCCACAGTCATCTCTCCATGGGACCCTAAAGATAACGACCCTTTCTGGCTCCACAATGCGCTCTAATATGTTACTATCAAGATAAACAGGGTGTAGCTGAAGGTAGTCCCACAGAGAACCTATCACTTCATTTACAGCTTGATGAAATTCGTGCTCCCCGGGGTTTTTCTTGACGACATGGTTCATAAAATCATCAACACCCTTGAACCTCATGTTTCCATCCTACAGACAGAAAAAGATATGATTTTGTTTTGACAAAAGACTTGGTTGCGGAAGACTAAACTATGCTAGGTATCAAAGTCCATAGCTGCAGACTTGGTTGCGGAAGACTAAATTATGCTAGGTATCAAAGTCTATAGCTCCAGGGATATCAAGACTATCGCACAGCACTGCAGAATTGCGTGAGTTAAAAGTGCTTCGAATTAGCTATCATGAAAATGTTTCATATCTACCGTTGTACAAGGGTTTCCGAGGTCTGCAGTAAATTGTCTGAAGGTTGAATGCAGGATGTCTCGATGAATTCTTGAAAAAACTCTTAAAACAAATATTCTCCTTATAGGATAAGACATTCAAAGCATTTTCTTGCAAGCCAAAGCGTACTGTGGGAGTGATTATGAGTGACGTCATAAAATAGATATTCTTTAGCGCGCAACGACCGGAGCAGAAGAGGAGGTTGGTAATGATTGATTAAGATGCAAAAGTCTATCCAGTCAACTGTCTTGCTGACAGACACTCTCGCAAGTGGACAGCTCTGCTCACTTTTCAATCTCTCGCTTTCCCTCCTAGTCAAACTCTGTATTTACAGATTCCCGTAGGTGGACACTCTCTCGTAGGTGGACGTGCACAAAAAGTGCAAATTGTTCGTCGGTCACGCAACCAAGACAGTCACGCAAACCTTGTAGGCACGCAGGGGCACAGCGCTGATAAATGGGATTAATGCTTATATCAAATAATAGCTATAAATCATTTCTCCTGTGATTGGTCATCCCAAAATAAGGCTCCTTCCTGGATCGGAATAGATTCACTTTCGTTTTTGCAGAGTTCGTACCAGGAAAAGGGATAAAAATTACTGTGTGCCTATCTGAAATAAAAATCAGTCACTGTTTTGTCCACTTTTCGTCGTCCATAGTCTAATTTGAAGTACTCAGTTCGCTACTAATAGTATACGAGAATGGTTTTACATTTGTGTACGAACTCTCGGTTTTGGAGTCGTTTTTCCAGCTCGAAAATCACAGGATCCTTGGCTTTTTGTCACAAATATGTGATAGAATTTTCACTCGTCAAAACAAATCTGAAATCGATAGAACCCTCTCTAGCCCTCAGGACAATTCACCGCTGTGGGTATGTGCATACACAGAGCTGTTTTGGCCAACAGATGGCCTGAAATTAAACCTGTTCATATTTTCAGTTGACTCCCTTTTCAAATCATCTATAAACTTTCACTTCCCTGGATTCGAATGAAACGTAATCCTGCTGCCGAGAAGGAAGACTCGAAGCATTCAAAATAATTCAAATGTCACACGAAACTTCTCTAGCTCCGTGGACAGGAAATGTTTTGCTCTCAATTCGCGAACAGCAAGTGATCACAAGTTATTTTTCCTTGTCAATTGACTTGGAGAGGGATAAGAGAAAGCCAGCTGCATTAAAAGAAATTAATAAAGGCAAGGCACATCAACTGGAGCGTTCAAATCTCTCTGCTGATATGTTTGTTTTTCGGCCTTTTAATTATGGTTTCCTTTCAGGTTCACCTTAGGTTTCTCGTATTTTACGCCTGAACAATATCTCTTACGATTTCCTTGCACTTTGAAGCAAATTAAAACAAAGGAACCACTTATTTGCAGCTGCAAAAACGCTCTAGAATCATATTGCGAAAATCAATAGGTCAAGACCAGTCCAAAGCGGCTGTCAGTATGTTCAACATGAACTCGATTATCATTGTCTCATCTTTCGCATAAATTTTCACAAATAAATACGACGTTACAAAGTTTATGACCACAGAGGTTCGTCCAGACAAGCTAAGCGATGGCTTAATTTTTTGGGCTCCTACCTAGCGATGTCGACAGTTTTGCTGATTCCGAGCACATCGTTCTAAGAAGTCTGCAAAGCCGTTTGACTGGTTCCGAAACCTTTTACCAACACATTTGCGCTTTAGGACTTCGCATTCGTTCTCCTCCGTTTTGAAAACACAATCTCTCTTCTCTAGCTTAAAAAAATAGTGCCTCAATTTAAGTAGAAATATTCCGCTGAAGTTCATTTCGAGCTTCTCAAACAGCTTTCATGCGCGCAAACTACGACGTAAACAGTACCCACCGACATCTCGCCATTTTCCATCATGGCCGTGCGATAAACTCCAGACGCACATCGAACAGCCACGCGCCCAAGCAGCAGAGATGAGCCTCTCTGGATACAAAATCGTCTAGCAACAGATCGAAGAAACATGCCTGGAAGGCTTTGCTCCGTAAATGCTTTGTTACCGACACAGCTTTGGTTGTGCAGGATACTTCACTTCCCGGCTTACCCTTGACGTTTTATCGAATTCTGATAATTATGGGGGAGTGTTATGGGCGTGGGCTGGTACAAGAATATGATTGGCTAAACAAGAACTGTATGGGGTGCAGGTCTGCACGAATGATTACAAAACAAACACGGAACTGCAAACACTGGTAAATAACTAGGTTGAATAATGTCCAATACAAAAGGGCAGTCACTTTTCTGCCACGGTTAAATGGTACATTCAAAGGTAAGCAGAGACAGGAGGTAACATTGGATGGCAACAACACTGCTTTTTCTGACAAAATTAATATAGTGATATGGCTCATAATATTGAACCCAAATAAAAAACACTTACACTAGCAAATAAAGTGTTGTACTTGTTTTCAGTTAAAAAAGCATTAAACCAAGGCACCATATTTTTGGGGGACTTCAACACATTTTGTTCCTTCCCAAAAGCATATGACTAGTGGTTTTTGTTTGGACTGTATCATTAAAAAACTTTGCAACAAACTATCATAAAACAACAAATCTTTGAAACATAGAATCCAGACTAAACTTCCCTTGCTAGAGATAGTTTTTAGTCAATTGGTGCACTTGAAATAACCAAAACTTCCTGAGTATAAAAATTAAAAACATATGACTTCTTTTATTGCACAATTTGGAAGATACAAGAAGTTCATTTTGCCTGAAATGAAAAGCACCTAAGCCAATTACTTAAATACTGACTCACCAATCATCAAGATTTAAAGATTTAAAAGGATTTAAGGCATTTACATAAAAAGTTTGAACATTACGGGATAACCAGTACAGTACAGTATGCAACAGAAATTTACCAGCACAAGGCTCCATGCAAGGTTACACTTTGTCTTCCTGACAGGCAATTCAATATTACAGCTGTCATCAACAGCTGAAATGACACGATGTGTTAGAGAAAAAGCAAAAATAAAGCTATGAATGTTATGTAAAAGCTCAAAGTGACAGTAAACCATAAAAAAATTTCCCTGTTCAGGAAAGAACATCTGAAGCTTGTGAAGTTTGATCTCTTGATGTTATTCAATTCCAGTCCTGGTTCCATGTTACTTCCATTAAACTAGTAAAATTACATGTTATTACATGTAAATTAGCAACATATGTTTTGTTTCAAATCACCAGACTTAAACTGTATAAATATGCAATGAAAATGTAGAAACTCCTTTCTCATACTTCTGTCAAAGGCTAAAAACAGCATTTGATAAAATAAAAGAAAAAGAAAGCTGTGGCCCTCAGGATAATCAAAGGAATTGTGCAGGGTCTTTCTTATGAAACTGAACTTTAAAACCGTGCTTGACAAAGCTTCCCATCAAGTTTCATTGTCATTTTATCTTGTGTTAATAACCAGGACTAATCCTTCTGTGTTTCCCCTTCTTTATCGGACTTGTCATTTCGTCATCATCATCAGCTACGTCAGCATCACCTCCAGCACCTTCAATAAGACTATTAGCCATCATCTCTGGTATCCTGGCAAAATCAGCTGGTGATCAAATAGAAGTACAATGTTGTTATCTAATGATTTGGTAATTTCATGGTTTATATTCTGAAGACCAACAGTAGCAGCAATACTCCCAATAATAAAAAACTGGAGCAACAGTCGTAGCTATCACAGTGGCAGTGCCAAGAGTAGCAGAGTTCTCCCTCGTTTTAGGTATGACAGATAAAAGAAATTTTCAAACCCATAGAGCAATCTGTTTTCTTGTAAATTTTCAAGAATTACAAGCAATTTACCCCCTGAAAAGGAGAATACTCTACTAGTGATAGTACTAATGGTAAAATTCATTCAAGTAACATAAATTGTACCACATAGGAAGAATAGCTTATAAAAAAAAACAAAAATCAGATATTGGAAGCAAAACCGGTTTTATTTAACAACACTGTCACTTACATGCTACTGTTGTCACATACAGACTTCTTGCAAAGCGTCTGCCAAACTTGCTTTCTGTGGCTAAGCTACAAGAGAAAATAATAAGAAACTGACTCAAGAAAGTTGTTTATACTTGTTCTCAATCAAAGGGCACTAATACCACTCATGGAGAGGGTTAGGTACAAGTTGTAAAATACTACCTACTGGAGGGAATTCACTTGATGTAACACCAAACTCTGCAAACTACTTCAGAAGGAAAACTAGAGGTCCTTGTGGGGAGAATTACTAATCAAATCATAGAAGTCAAAGAATTAATTCCTGTAGTGTGTGTAAAATTAAAAGGCTGATAGTTTCTAAAATTAAAAAGGCAGAGTGAAGGAATTGGCATGTTTTTAAAAAAGAACTGGGTATGTACTCAATTGGTGGTTCCTCAACCAAAACAAATTACCACTGAAAATGGTCTTTGGTGAGAACTATTGTGGTTCCGATCCATTCAAAAGGTAACCTTTAGAGACAACAAGAATATCTTATTATTTACTTACCACTGACCAACCGTGGACGGTCTTCCTAACAATCCAATCTGAACGTTAAGCCCTGTTAAGGTGGAGAAATTAACGATCAAGGTAAATTTTCATACCGGGGTAACAGTAAAGGTTCCAAACATACACAGTATATATAAGTATACACGTGCTTATGTAACGTCGTACCTTCTTTACAGCCTCCTTGCTGAAGTCTTGAGGCATGGCGCTGCAGGAAGAAAGCTTTAGTAAAGAAGAACTGAGCTACAAACTCGCTGGCATAAACTTTCACTTACCACTAGGCGTGCTGAAGAAGAAAGCTTGGAAATCGAACGAATACACCGGCTCGTCAACATGGCGGAATCTATTTCTGCGCGTGCGTTGGCGACTCAAAGCTCTCAAGGGTACATGGGAACTTTCTTTTTCGCGGCAGTCATCATGGCGGCTCAACTTAGCAAGAAAAAGAAGGTCGGAAAACCCACAAAATCTCTCTTGTTAAGTCATGACTTCGAATTTTTACATTTCTGTAGGGAAATATAACTGTTTAAATCGCTATATGACCCCTTAGTTTGATATGATGTTCGAATTACGGCCAAGATTGAACTGGATTTTATTTTTGTCGCCGTAACTTAATCGCGAGTGACTGTGTATTGATAGCAAGCAATTTTCGGAGATAGAGGCCAGGGTAATCGAGCTTCTCTGAAAGTAGAGTTTGCCCGTGCAAGTGAAGCACACAGTTGTATTTCAGATTATAAATCCAAATTTTCAAATAATTCTTTGATTGAGGTCAGCTATGGAAGCCAATTCAGCTAAATTATTTGTATATTCTCCTCAGCTGTGATCCGTCATTCAAGGGTTGGATTTTTTTTTTACTCAGAAACGAAACAGTGGATAAATAAATTTTTTCAATTGTACTCAAGTTGTTTTTTAATTGTCTAATTTGATATAGTTCGTTGCTGACGGCGTCTTCAAAGCCGAGTTAAACGAGTTTCTAACTCGTGAATTAGCAGAGGATGGATACAGTGGTGTAGAAGTTCGTGTTACTCCCATCCGAACCGAGATCATTATTTTGGCCACTAGAACTCAGAATGTCCTGGGAGAGAAGGGACGACGAATCCGTGAACTTACATCAGTGGTTCAGAAAAGATTTGGATTCCCTGAGGGAACTGTAGAGGTACTTGTAGAAATCTTGTATCAAACTCTAAGGTTAAACAGAGTCATTAAGGAAAGCCTGGTGGAATGAAGTATTTGAATTTGGGAGTGATTGTTACTAGTATTAAAACAGTGGACAGTCTTGAAGGCATGCTTGGAGCTTGGATTGGCTATTCAAACTCCTTCTATCCTTTACTATGGATTTTCTCTTGATAATATTATACTCATTGAGGAATGAATGGGTTAAAATAATTTTTTTTGCTTTGTTATGTCACAGTTGTTGTATTTATTAAAACAGATGCTCACTTTAGCACTGGTGACTAACATTGGATATTTAGCTCGCTGTTGTGTGGCTCAGTAAATATACACCACTTACTGCCTCCAATTTGGTTAAGTTGCTAATTAAAGATGAAGATGACTCTAACTTCGCTAAGAAAGAAACTTTTATTTGCACAGTCATGGTGGTGATTTGCAAACCAATGGTAGAAACAATATATACTAATTTATTCTGGACAAGGCCATCTGGTAAGGTCCAAGAACAGAACTTATAAGTTGGGGTTCTAAATGTGATTTCTTTTGGTAATCAAGGGTTAGTCTTGTTCCATTTTGGTTACAGAAGGATTTTATTTTCCTTTTGTCTGGTGTGAAAAAAACTTGTTTGATTTTTGCACTGTAACAGAACATCAAGATTTGTTAACTGAAAATGTAATGATTTAAAATACTCCCTTCCAGTTGTATGCTGAAAAGGTGGCCACAAGAGGTCTGTGTGCAATTGCCCAGTGCGAGTCCCTTAGGTATAAGCTGATTGGTGGACTGGCAGTGCGTAGGTAAGAAGTTGTGTCACTTTATGCTAAATAAAATGACACATCACAACTACTTGAATTCTCTTCATTTTTCATAGTATAAAGCAGTTACAAACTCAAGTGCATAAACATGCAAAATGGCATTTTAGTAACTTACCACAGAGGAGATTATCTAAGACTTGAAACAGTTTTAACTTGACTGTGTTTGACATCAGGAATCATATGCCTGCTGAAGTTAGTTAGGAAAACATAAATAGTATTTTGCAATCAATTTATTTTTGCATGGTAACAGTTGATTCATTTAACTTGCTTTTTTTAAAGTACATCTCTGTTATCATTCAAATAAAGATTCTTGTGACATTATGAACAGGGCTTGTTATGGTGTGCTTCGATTCATCATGGAGAGTGGAGCTAAAGGCTGCGAGGTTGTGGTGTCAGGGAAGCTCCGTGGCCAGCGTGCAAAGTCCATGAAATTTGTTGATGGCTTGATGATCCACAGTGGAGACCCCACCAATCACTATGTTGACATGGCTATCAGACATGTCTACCTCAGGCAGGGTATGTCTCTTGTTCATATTTTACCCATGTAAGCTTGCAGTAAACCAAATAAACAAAGAAATACTTACAGTAAGGGAGACAGTGGGATTTTTTTCACGATTGAGAACAACTAAGGCACTGTTCTCTTCGCGACAGTTTGTAAAGAAACATTTCTAAGTGGAGAGTTCTAACACTTAATGAATCTTAAGTTGACAGTGTATTAAATTATTACTTTCGACCAAAAATCTGAAGGGTGTGAGTGTGTTGACAACAAAGAAAATCAGCTGTAACCATCTGAAAACAAGTTTCTATAGGAATTCATTAACATAACACTTTTCTATCTTGACATCTCTAAGACTCTTACTGTTTTTCACAAAGATATGTTTTACCATCAGGTGTGCTTGGAATCAAAGTAAAGATCATGTTGCCATGGGACCCCACTGGAAAAACTGGCCCAAAAAAACCTCTCCCTGATCACGTCAGCATAGTGGAGCCCAAAGAGGAAGTTGTTCCAGCCACGCCCATCTCTGAACACAAAGGAGGCAAACCTGAACAGCCAGCTTCAGCCCCTGGGTTGTAGAGTTACCAGGTACATGTATGGTGTTTGCTATTGTTTTGTTAAATAAATATTGATGTTTCATTGTGATGCTCTATGTAGTGAATGGGACCAAAGCTAAATTAGTTTTTAAAATTGTGACACAGTGGGCAGAAGTTGGGTTTTTTCCCCTTTCTTGGGAGATTTAAGCATGGCATTTTCTGGAGAAATGCACTCAAGGATATCTTCACCATCCTCAAAGAGAATGTTTGTTTCTGGGAATAGAGAACCTTACATCACTCCTTTTTGGGAAAGGGATAAAATGTCCTTTTGCTTGGACTATCAAGAAATAAACATGAACCTTATGCCTTTTTTTTTTTTGTTACTTGTCTACTCTCAAGCTTTTAGCCCTGGAACCAACACTCAGTTATTATCGTTATTATTTTTCAGGTTTAAGAGCTTCAACCAGCCATTTGCCATCTTGCTGTGTAAAAAATAATTCTAACTATCAAAAATAAACAATTAAGAAACAGGGCAAAAATGTTGTGGTTTATTCTGTTCTAACAAAAGTTTTGACAATTTCAGCAGCAAGTGTTAATCTAAATATTCTACAATTTCATTCATAGATGTAATCAAACATCACCACAAAAAGTTTTTTTAAGACTTTCTCTAACCTAGCAAGTGCACTGCTGAAAATCCTATCAAACAAATTAAGATAAAAGTCCCCCTGTGAAATAATTTCTTACAACATTCAATATTTACTGAGATAAGTTTTGAATTCTGTATTGCCAAGTGTCATCAAACATCTCTGAGGCTTTATCAACCTTTTACAGAGATGTTGTCATATACTTTGGTCAAAACGTTGTGGCCTTCAATAAAATATTTGGATCACTGAAACTTGGATCCAAAGGGAAATTATCCTCATCCTCCCTGAAAAAGTGTAAGATATAGATGAGTGGAAGAAAAAAATATTGTCATTTGCACATATTTTAACATGAACTAATCCCTTGTTAAACTATTTGTGGGTATCAAGTTAGATTGCAGAACTTATAACCTTGAGTAACTTTTCAAGATGTGCAATCTAGTACAACCCTACTCTAACAGATAATTTGACCTTTTTTTTTGTTCTTACCAAGCTCAGCTTTTGCAGCTTCCAAATACTACCTGCTAAGTATAGTGACTAATACCTGAATAGCAAACTGTTGTTGGCTGCATTTTAAAGACATCGACCTTGAATACCTGATACATACCTTGTTTAGATCCACACCAATGTCCCCAAATTTTGTAATCTTTCCACCAAATTTCTCTGATTTTCTTGCTCTCTTTAAGTAGAGACAAAAAATTAAGACCTGCAATGCTTATACAACATGCAGATGTTAAAAAAAAAAGGTTAAACTTCTTCAGTCTGAACTCACCGACTCCCTCATTTCTCTGTCTTTTAAATCCTTTCTGTCAGCCTGGATCTGTATACAGGTAAAACATGAGCAAAGTTTTAAACACGTACCCTATGTGAAACCCCAGTTCTATGCTCAACGATAAGAGAAATTTCCTCCTCAATATAAATAAGAACTTTTTCTACCTTTGCTTTGATTCTTGCTTTTTCCTGGTCCTCAAATTTTTTCTTTTCTAAAACTTTCCTTCTTTCCTCTTGTAATTGTCTCTCTCTCTCTCTCTCTCTGTAAGCTGCTTTTGTTGAATAAAAATAAATACCACAAGCTTTGAGGGTTGGCATAACATTTATGACTAAGAACAAAATAATATGGCTGCACTCAAACTGCAAAGCTACCTTCGCTACATGCATGCTCCTCTAGAAGCTTAGCTATGAAAGCCATGGCATTCAAAAACTATTTCCATGATCTCATCCAATGACAAAAATTTTATCATTAAATTGATGAAAATGTCAAGTAAAAGGGAAACTTGCTTCTTGTCTGACAGAACCATAGTGCAGGCCATTGAAATTAAAGAGTAGAATTTTGCTTTGTAGCCTGAGAATTCTGCAAAATCTGATCTCCAGCAAAGAACGCATTAATTTCTGTCAATTTGGTAACCATATACATCGAGCATTGTTGAAAAAGAACACCGTACTGTAATACTCTGAAAAAGAGGTTCATAACTCACAGGTTCAGATTTAGAGGTTACTCCTGAACTGGATCTTGAAGGAATAGTGCTGAATGAGAAAAATTAAATTAAAACACAACCTGTACAGTTTGCGTGGAGGAAAGCTTACTAATGTTAAAACGAGGGGCTTGATAATTTTAAATGCTCAAAGAGAAGGGGTACAATCTTGTGACAGAAAATTCTAATTTAAATTATGGCTAGAGAGTAAGTGTTTGTATATGTAACAACAAACTAACACACAAAGAAGCTTACTGCAATTTCTTCATTAATATTTGTTTAACAAGTTGAATATCCTCGTCTGATGGAAGCACAACGTAGTCATCATCCTTAATACAAATTCAGACAGTTCTGGTTAGTAACAGAAGAATAAAGAACTTTATTTTGTATGGCACTCCACTTAGCTAAAAGCTACTTTACAGGAAGCCCACAAATAAACATATAAAATTGCAAAACAAAAGAAAGATAAAATTTAGCTAACACTCTAAAAATTTTGAAATCTTAAAATATCTGAAAAGTGAAAGTGAAAGTGAATGATTCGATACCTTAATAGCAGCATATCTAAGTAATCTAATTATTTATGTATCAGTACATGTGTAATTTTAAAAAGCTACGTAACTGCAATAATAACAATTTCAAAATACTACATAACGAATACTTCTTAAAACTTCCCTTGTGCCGGCTACGGTGCGAAAGGAATCTGGTAGCGCATTCCATGTCTTTGCAGCGAAGTACCATAAAGACCTAAGACCATGCTTGGTACTTCTTACTTTGGGCAATGAGAGCATGTTTGTGTCCCTTAAGTTATATTTTGTGTCCTTTACTTTAAGTAGGTTTACAAAGGGGGTCAGTGCCTGCTCCTAGAGGCAACTGTTTATTGTGATTAACATGTCCTGGATACAAAATTTCAAATCCGAGCCTCAATTCAGTTTTTTGAAATTTGACTCTGTGATATTGAATAGGCCATTTTACAGTTGTGTACTTAGTTGCCAAGCCTTTGATTCAGAGTGAGGCTAAAGATGACCTTGTTGCGATAGAGACCTGTATCTAGTTAGCATGATAACAAAGTGATTTACATTTGAAAGGCAGCAAGGTTTGTATCATAACTAACAAGGTCATCTCTAGCCTCACTCCCAGTTCAAAGGCTTGGCAACCAAGCACACAACTGTAAAATGGACTATTACCATATAAACTACACAGTACCTCCTGCCATCCCCAACTGAAAAGAAACTCCTGAGCTTCTGATAGCTGCCAAACTTTTGAAGAAAATGATTTGTTTTGTTTTTTGACCTTTCGGTATTTTTCGTCGGTTGGAGATTTAACTATGTTACTGGGGTTGAAAAAAAAAAAGACACAATCAAAGATGCGAAGATAATCATGTAATATCATATCAGATGATCGGTAAAACTAAATAAATCAATTAGCAAATGAAAATAACACTCAAATCCTTGAAAAATAAAGTTACTTATGGCACAACCTCCCAATACGATCCAAACAGCCCCATTCCAGAGCACTTCTCCTTATTTTTTGCTTGCCTAATATAAAATTGAAAGCATCTACTCATAGCGTAGCTTTCCCCACCAGCTATCAAACAACCTGGTTGAAGACCAGCATCAAATCTAATACAGAAAAATCATTATAGCTTTACTTTGCGAGTGTTAATAGTGTTTCTATCGCTTGTCGTGCAGTTTCACGATCATGTTTCTTACAAAGCGACTCCAGTGATGATATCAAGGCTTGTTCTCTTTCTCCTTCTCCAAGCTTACTTCCGCCCTGTACAAGAATATTAGATTAGAACAGCATTCGACTGTGTTGATATCAAAGGTAAAACAGTTCAGACCAAATTTGTAACAAGCTTAAGACTAGCGTAACGAAATCAAATTCAAAACCAAAACGTACCGAGTTAGAAGCCATGTTTACTTTACTTTCTGGTGAGTCAACCTTTGTCAAAACGTCCACTCAGCATTACATGATACTTATATTCGTTGGAGTAGAACCCGCTGACTAAAGCAGGCTCGTAGCCAGGGAAGTTTTTCTCGTGTGCGCTCTCGTGAGTAATAAGACTGTAACAGTTGTTAATTTATAAATAATGTTTCGCTCTTTTTCATTGATTTGAGGAGAATGTCACGTTGAAAGCTTGATATAGAAACAGAAATGGACAAAAGGCCATTATTTCTGGGAAGGGGCCGGGGACGTGGCCGTGGGAACGAACAAAACAGTACAAAGCCGACTGGACGAAATGTTAGTGCTCTTTCATCCTCTTCAAAATGGGGAAGTTCAAGAAGCGGAGTGGCCAAAAATACAGAATCTCCCAAAACTACTGAGGTATCCAGAGAAAGACAAGAAAAGGCGAATAAAATAAAGGAATCTGCGAAAAAATATTTGGAGAAATTGGACGACGAGTTTGAAGAGTCATCCGAAGATGAAGAAATCAACGACGGTGAAATATTGAACAAAACACTCCAAGACTACAGGAATACTTCACAAGGTATGATAAATAATGAGAAAAATACTTAAAAACTACCCAGTTATGATAAAATTGAACTTTGTTGAGAAGGAAACTTTTTTTACAGCGCTGAAATTTTGTTCATAGTTAATTTAACTCTTCCCATCAATCCCCTACCCCTTTCCCCTCATCCCCTTTGTCCTCCTCGGCCTTTAGAAATTGCAATGGAAACAATGAAGGGATTGATTGTATGGGTTAGACTGGCTTGGTAAAGACAACCAATAGGCTTATTTTGGCTTATTGTGTCATCTTCCTCGTGGGCTAACTTCTACTGGCTCAGATGGCTCTGTGAATGGTATCAACAGGCTCATCATCGGATTCTATACGTACATACTTTATTCGTCCCAAATGGGCTTCTCAGAATAAAGAAATAATTAAAACCATTTACTAATAAATGGATGAGCTTATTAACTAGTATATAGATAGCATAATCAAATTATAGTCAATTAAATAGATAAATTGAATAACAAAAACAAAAGCAATTAAGTCTCTAAAAAGTGTGAGGTAAGGCTTCTCTTCAGGAAATGTTTGAAGTCCTTTAGTGTTGGTTTCAATTTAAGAGTAGGGTCTAATGAGTTCCAGAGTTTGACAGTCCTGAAGTAGAAAGTTCTTTGTCTTGTGGTGGTTTTAAACAAAGGAATATTTAGCATCTTGGAGTTCCTTGTTTTACACTAAGTGATGGTAGCTTTTTCGATATATTTAGAAAATAGAGTCTGGTACACACCCAGCTGTCTTACAGGTAACCACTTTAACTCTTTAAGGATGGAGGAAACGCAGTCATATTTCCTTGAATTGCTGATGATATAGGCTGCAAAATTCTGTACTGCTTGGATCCTACTCAGGTTGTGCTCTGAGGTGTTAATTGCTTCAAACATTACAATAATATAGCTTGCTGAAGACTAAGGCATTAATTATAGTAGCTAAGGCATTTGAGTCAAAGGCATGTTTAACTTGATTCTGCTGGTTAACTTAGACATAAATGTTTTGCTTTGGTAAATGTGATCAATTGGCTCCAAAATTTGGTTAACTTTGTTTTTCTCAGGATCTTTACAAACGCGTGATCTAAGACAGAATGTATCTTTGTAAAACAGATTCAAGTTTTCTTACTCTATTTGGGAGATCTGTTCTATCCCTTCTTAATAGTGAGTTTGCTGCATTTATCCCCTGTAGATAATGAGGCAGACTTGACCAAAACTGCTCAGTACTTGTTTGATTCCTGCAAACCTGGCTCAAGTGTGTGCTTGATCTGCATTGCTTCCATCAAACATGTTGATGCTGTGAGTATTAAGTTTCACTATCTCCAGTGAATGTATTGCTACTAAATTTTGTTATTTTTCTCTTGAACTCCCAAGGTGTGATTAGTAATCCTACCCTCTAACTTAAAAAAGATTTTCATCCAACTGATAGCGTAGTCGGATGATTTACCTAGGTGTGTGTATAGTCTGTTGTCCAGAGAAGTGACTGATGTTTCAACAACCTGAGTGGAACTTGACTCTGATGATAACTTATGCTCAGGTTGTGAAAACATCAGTTACCATTACCCACAATGGTCCTTCTCAGAACTATACTCACCTGGACAATCAGACCACACTACATCACATGTTACCCCCAGGTTCAAACCATGTACTGTATTTCTATTTAAATTAGAAAAAAGAGTAAGGTGTTATATCAACCGAATTTAACATCCTCTGCAGAGTTTAAAATAAACCCTCTCACTTTTAATATCTCATTAGCAATTCCCCTTACAGTCTGCTATACAATTCTTATGATGTAAGTTTGGAGAATTTTGTATTGGATCAACTAGTAATCTCTTAATTGACATTTATTTTATGCTGATCACATGACTGCTTGATATCGTGAGGAGAAATTGTGTTGGTAATTCATGGGAGTTAAAGGGTTACATACTCCCTAAACAAATGATATTTTGTAAATGTAGAGGTTCTGAAATGCTATTTTGTGCATTATTTTGAAGGATATTCCTTAAAAAGTACATTTTGGAAAGTATGACTAGGTAGTTTCAAATTTTACCTTTTTTGAAAACATACATTACACCCTGACTCCATGCCACTCACCAGCTTCAATTTGCTATTTACAATCAACACACATTCCTTTTTGGCTCTGAAAATGAAATAGCTGTTTTTTCTTTTAGTCGGGCAGCCAGTACTTAATGAGAACCCTTCACCTACTGGCTATTAAGCCTGTCTGTTTTCATTAGTTGTGTGCAGGATAATGCATAAAAATGGCAAGGAGAAGTTATTTGTTGATCACTGCTTGGAAATGTCTGGTAAAGTAGTTGGTTATTGTAAGGTTCAGTGGCCATCATTAAATGTTCATCTTTTTGTCTGGTGATTTGACAGCCTTGTGAATTTCCCCTCTGTGTTCTCTGTACTTACCATAAATGCAGTTTCTGTAGCATGAAGTGATTAGGAGTATTTCTTCTCCCCCCCTGGATGAAATGCTAGTCCATCGCAGGGTTACCCCCCAACATTAAATTTGCCGGTATCCATTTGTACTCCTGGGTGAAGAGAGGCACTGTGAGAGTAAAGTGTCTTGCTCAAGAACACAACACAATGTCCCCAGCCAGGGCTTGAGCCCGGAGCACACAATCTGGAGTCAAGTGCATTAACCATGAGGCCACCATGCCTCCACAAGCAGAGGGGGTGTCATAAAAAAAAAACCTCTTGGGTGTCATCAAAGAAAAATCTATTTTGGGCAGGAAGCCCTTGGGTGGTTATGCACTGTCAAATTCTGTCCAACTCATGCTTCAATTTTCTGGAATAGGGGCACACACTCTTAATCATGCATGGTGAAACAAACTGGTGATGATGCTCTCAAAAATAAAGATAATTGACCTTTCAGGTGTTAAATGAAATTTGATTCTTCAGAAAAAGTTGTTTGATTTAATTGAGCAGTGAATTGTAAATCTTTTAGCTTGGGGTAGCTTGCTGAAAATTCTTTCACTTTTTTCGAAAAGCTGTCTTGAAGCTGGACAAAAGTGGTGTTTGAACAGA